AATAAATAAACGAGCGATTAATTGTAAAATAAAATAACTGAGCACAGCAGCATGGGTCTATAATCTCAGTACTGGCAAGGAGGAGACAAGTGGATACAAGAGAAGACAAGGGGTTCACAGGCTAGCCAGTCTAAGAAGGAAGGGAGGGAGGGAGGGAGGGAGGGAGGAAGTCAGGCTGGCTGGCTGTTTGGGAAGAGGAAGAGGATTGGTGGAATGGGAATCTGGGAACAAGAGAGAATGGCGGATGTGTCGATACCACCAAAGTATGTTATACACTTTGAATACAGTAAAAACATCCTAACAAAACCTATTATTTTATATAATTAATATGTAGTAATATTTTTTTAAACTTTTTTTAAACTCTTTTTTTTTTAGATTTATTTATTTATTATGTACACAGGAGAGGGTGCCAGATCTCATTACAGATGGTTGTGAGCCACCATATGGGTGCTGGGAATTGAACTCAGGACCTCTAGAAGAGCAGTCAGTGCTCTTAACCTCTGAGCCATCTCTCCAGCCCTGTAGTAATATTTTTTAAAGACATAAGAAAAATGTGTTGTGTGAATAAACGGGCAAGGTCTTCCAGAGCTCAAACCTCTGAGCTATGTTTATGGTAATGTCTTCAGAGGAACTGAAAAGGAAATTGTCAAAAATCGCTTATGAGAAAGGCCCTTAAAAACAATGCATATTTAAATGACCTTGCTCCGTTTTAGGTTGCTATAACAAAATGCTTCTGGGTGGGTAACACACAATTCTGTTGGCTGCAGGGTCCCAAAGATCATGGCACTAGCATCCTGTGAGTTTCCCTGGTCTCCTCACAGCACCACACAGAAGCTGATGAGGAACCGCCAGGGGCATGGGTCAGGGCACAGGTATAAGAAAGTGAACAGAGACGCTCAAACTTGCTTTATAGCGTCTCACTCTCCTGGGAACTAATCCAGTTCCCCGACACCTCGCCTTCTCCCTGAAGACAACACTGACAGGTTCATGTGGCTAGAATCCCCAGACTTAGTTATCTTTTGTCAGACGCTACTTCTTAAAGGCCCCACCGCCTAAAACCCCACACTGGGGATAAGCTTCCAGTACACTGTGGCAGGCAGTACACTGGCCACAGGCCTGATGGCTGGGGGCTGCTGGGGCTCAGCCTGGGCATAAAGGGGAGCAGTGATGTTACACCAGGTTCCCGACACTGTGGCATTCCACCTCCCCTTCCTCACGTACAGAAGATTGGCTTGAATAGAGCAGCCACTGGTGTGTCTTCTCTTACAGGGTAGTGTCATTCATACATGTATCTTAGGAGTTTCTTCTGGTGTTGACGTTTTCCCATACATGATATGCGTAGGTCTTCTAGACCTCAAGAGTTCCAAAAGTTGTGTCTAGATGGCCAATTTGTTGGTTGGGTTTTTGTTGTTGATTTGCTTTTAGGTTTTGTTTTGTTTCATTTTGTTTTTGTTTTTGTTTTTCTCCAGGAAAAAAAAAAATACCCAATTGTAGACTGAAAATCAATTAAGGGTATGAGGTTTACTTGAAAGGCTGCTCACTGACTTGTAGCCATGTTTGATGGGAGACACATGCTCCCTTAAGTGAGGGGACACTGGTGGAGTCAATTTGATTTATTCCTGGTGCATTTCCTGAAGCATATGGAGGAGACTCGGGCTGCGAGTGTCTAGAGGGATGTATGATGTGGAAAACTTCTCGGGAGCCGAAAGTCGTGTGGTGTTCATAGCTGGCTTTTCGAGGGTTGCCTGGCAGATCCAGATGTAAACTTCAGCTGCATGGGGACAGACTTAAACCCTGGACATGTGGGGGCCAGAGCCTGGGCTGAGAGAAGCCACTAATTGGCAAATGAATACCCCCACAGACCACCCTGTCACTTCCTTCTCGCTGGCAAGTTTTGCCATCTGTGCCGAATGGGCCTGTCTTGATCATGGGCACACCACCGGGCATAAGGCTGCCCTGAGTTGCCTGGCGTTCCAAACCCCACAGAGTTTCTGGAAATGTGCAAAGCTGGCTGGAGCACAGAACATGCAGAATCCAGAATGCAGGGGCTGGCGGCCATCTTTTCCATTCCAACGGTCCTTGTTGTAGTGCTAGTTGGGTGGGAGGGTATCTGAAAATAAGGTTGACTTAGAAACAAAACAAAACCTGCTTTCCTAATCTGTGTGGGGTGTGCTGAATAGCAGGGAGAAAGACTGATAACCAGTCCTCTCCCTCTGTGCATCAGCCCGCATTGAGTTATTATTAAATACTTGAGGTTGGAAGCTCTATTGATAATTTTATTGAGTTTTTTATTGTGAAGACTGAAAGTCCCCAATTGGACAGTTCTGTTGATTCAGCTTCTGATGGGGACTCTCTTGTCTGGGTCACCACATTGTGAATGGCTTCATGGAGGGCTGTGTACATGAAAGAAAGACCATAGAGTGAGATGGGAAGACAGAGAGTGGGCAGAGAGAGTTTGGTCTTTTATTATCTATATCTATCATCTATCTATCTATCAATCAATCATCTATCTGTGTATCATCTATCTATATCTGTGTATCATCTATCTATCTATCCAGCATCTATCTATCCGTGTATCATCTATCTATCCATCTATCTATCATCTATCATCTATCTATCTATCTATCTATCTATCTATCTATCTATCTATCCAGCATCTATCTATCCATGTATCATCTATCTATCTATCTATCTATCTATCTATCTATCTATCTATCATCTATCTATCTATCTATCTACCTACGTTCACATAGCCCAAGGTAACCTTGGACCTGCTATATAGTAGATAAATGAGACGACCTTGAACTTCTGATCCTCCGGTCTCCAGCTCATGAATGCTGGAATTACAGGCATGAACCCCCACAGTGTATGCAGTGCTGGGGATGAACTTAGAGCTTTATACATGCTATCCAAGCAATCGGCCCACTGAGGTCCATCCCTAGCCCACAACCCTCTCTCCTGACAACTCCGGATCCTGTGAGAACTACATTAATCCCTTCCGAGGACAATGCCCCTGGTAACCGAATTACCTTGTACCTTGTACTAGTCCCTCTCCTGAAGCTCCAGTTGCCTCTTAAAATTGCCAGGCTGGGTACTAAGCCACCTATGAACCCTGGGAGGATATGCGCTTCAAACCACAGCAGGGTATAAAGATAGACATAACCCAAATCTACCACTTTAATCCTTTTTAAGTGTAATTGTGGATTAAAACACTCACGGGTTATAAAAATACCATTCTTGTTCATTTCTGGGATGTTTTGATCATCCCCAATAGAAACCTATTCTCACTAAGCGGTATCTCCCCCACCCCGTCCTATCCTGTTTCCTCACTGGTGGCTTTGGCTATTCCAGGTTGCTCATAGAAGTGGACTTAGACAATGTCTGTCCTTTTCTGTCTAGTTGGTTCGATGTAGCAAATCTTTTCAGAGTCTGTCTTCTGTGCTGTAGAACGTGTCAGGATTCCCCTCCTCTCCAAGGCTGGATAGTATTCGCTTATATAAGGCCGGGCAGAATGCCTGCCTTCCATGCGTGAAACCTGGGTTCAGTCCCCAAGTATCCCCTTGATACGAAGACTGTGTTTTCATTATCCGCTCCTCTACTATTGACACTTGCATGGCTTCCTCTTCTTTGTTGTGAATAATGCTGCAAGCCACATTGTACACGTGTGTGTTTACACCACCGCTTTCAGCTTTTTGTGGGTCCATACCTAGAAGGGGAGTTGCTGGGTCACATGGCATTTCTCTTTTTTTTTTTTTTTTTAAAAAAAAAGTTTTTTAAAATTTCTTATTGAATTTTATTTTATGTGTATACATGTTTTGTCTGCATTTATGTCTGTGTACCACAGGCAGGGGTATCTGCAGACACCAGAAGATGTTGGATACCCTTGGAACTTAAGTCGTGAGCCACCCTGTGGGCACTGGGAATTGAACCTGGGTCCTCTGGAAAAGCAGCCAGTGCTCTTAACCACCGAGCCATCTCTCCAGGCCATGTGGCATGTCTATGGTTAGCTTTTTGAGGAACTGCCAAGGTCGTTTCTAGAACTATACCATTTTACATTTCCCACCAGCAACTCCCAGCGTTGCGTTGGCCACAAACTTACCGATCCTTTTTATTAAAAAACAGCCACCCCCAGCGACGTGAAGGGCTAGCCCACTCTGGGTCTGACTTGCATTTCCCTGATGTCTTATAAGGTTGAGCATCCATTCACATGCCTGTGGTCCCTTCCGCATCTTTGGAGAAAAGTCTACTCAAGGCCTTTGATCACTCTTGAACAGGGGTGTCTGTTTTTGTTGATGAGCTGTATGAGAACTGTATGTATTCCATATATTAATCCCTATCACATGAGGTGTCTTTGTCCACCCTTGCGTCATCTTCCCACTCTTGGGAGTCTCTTTTCACACAGTGTCCTCACCCTGGGTATTCTCCTGCCCAGCTTACACACACAAGTGCTTTGCTGTCAGTTTCTCAAGCAGCATGTGAAAGGCAGGCTCCTGGTTTTTGCTTTGTTAAGATGTCTTTTTTATTTTATCTGTATGGGTGTTTTACCATGTGGGTTTAAGTGTGCCACATAGGTGTTTATTGCTCTCAGAGGTCAGAAGAGGCATCAGAGCCCCTGGACCTGGAACCACAGACAGTTGTGAGCTATTATGATGCTAGAAATTGAACCCAGATCCTCTGCAAAAGTAGCAAATGCTTTTAACCACTGAGCCATCTCTCCAGCCCCTGGTTTCTGGTTTTAACGTGTTTTTATTTTCCAGGCAATGTAGTTAAACGAAAGTCAACTTAGGTGGCATTCTTAAATCCCCACCTGCTCTCAAGAGGCAGAGCTATAGCAGTTTGCTATTCACTCAGCTCTTCCCTCACGCCGATATGTAAAACACTGATCATAATTGGATTGTTAATTGACGTAGGAAGATCTAGCCCACTGTGGGCAGCACCATCCCCTAGGCAGGGGTCATGAACTGTGTACGACAGGAGAAAGCAACATGAAAGCAAGCAGGCAGTGAGGCAGGGTGTTTATTTTCTTTCTTTGCTCTTGACTGTGGATGGGCTGGGAGTAGCTGCTTCGAGTTCCTGCCTGGACATCCCCTCAGGGACCCACGGTAACCTGTTGATTGGTAAGCCAAATCAGCTCTTTCCTCCCCTAGGTTGCTTTTGATCAGGATGTTCTGTTAAGCCACAGAAATGATGCCAGGACACCACTCACCCCCTAACTCCAGCAGCCGTGGCTCTGTTTTCCATGTCTATCACTTTGGCATCTCAAGAATATTCTGTGCATAGAACCAACAGCATGTGACCTCCAGGGTCAAACTGTTCTGCAGGTCGGTGGTTTGCTTCCTTTAATTGCTAGGATGTAGATGCACCCTACTTTTTAACTGTTCACTCACTGAAGGATATCTGGGTTGTGTCCAGCTTGGGAACCAACCCTAAGTATTTTGTGAGTTTTAATTTTTGGAAAGACTTTTTTTTTAAAAAACATATATTCCTAAATTGGTCACTAGTGTCTAGGAACAAAACCTTTTCACACAATGTCCCTATGGTTCCTCATGGGACCTCTCTGTAGTAAGTGGCATTTAAAGACATTGGAGCTAAAAGAGAAGGAAGCCTAGGTCCAAACACAGGTCCTCTGGACCCAACTGCCCATTACATCACACATCCCCTGCATGCCAAGCAGAGTTCTGGAATGTGTGTGGATGACAGATGGCAGAGCGGCAGGGGCCTTCCTGTGGGGACCTGGCTGGCAGATTCCAGAAGAGCTGTGCAGCAGCAGCCTCTGTTCCCAGGCTGTCAGCTCTGTCTCACAGGCTGCCTCTGCCATGTCCCCAAGGTCCTTGACCTGCCTCTGAGATCACAGCCTAAGGGTCCAGCCCGGTAAACGCTGAAATGAGGTCATTAAAAGGCTAAAGGACCAATTTTGCAACAGGGTTGCTAAAGAGGTCAGGACAGAGAGAGCAAGGTGAGACGTGGAGGTGAGGATCTGAAGGTTAGGTTGGAGCCAGAGAGGCAGCAAACAGGTTCAGGAGGTAAGGAGGCCAGCCCCAAGGTACCAGGGTAAGGAGTGGCGTGCTTACACAGGGAGCCAGGCCAGGAGGCCGAGTTGAGCGGCCTGGCTAGTGGTGGGTATGAGGAAGAAGGTGGAGAATTGCAGGCACTCTGCAGGGTTCGAGGTGGCTGGGCGAGTGCCAGCATGTGCCTCATCCTTGGTGTCCCTGCTTATTTCCTTGCTGATCCCATTCAGGATTCATCATGGTGCCTGTAGGGTATTCCATTCTAGCTCAGCTGTGTCTGGAGACCACAAGATGCATGATTCCCATCCCGGCACCACCGGCATCCTAGAGAAGAGTCGCTGGGAAGAAGGAGGTGAGGGCCTCAAGATGGGAACAGTGAGAAGCACACCTCTCCCCCACTTGAAGCACTCAGTTCAGTGTGATTGCAGAGGTTGGGGCCAGGACCGATTTAGTGTCTTGGCTCTGTGACCATCCGTAGACTGGGACAATGATACGTTTACAGCTTCTCAGGTTGTAGGATGCTTATTTCTGGGACAATAAATTTATAGTTTCTCAGGTTGTAGGATGCTTATTTCTGGGACAACACATTCACAGTTTCTCAGGTTATAGGGTGCTTATTTCTGGGACAATACATTTACAGTTTCTCAAGTTGTAGGGTGCTTATTTCTGAAGATCTGGGGTGGCATAGTGGATGGTTTTACATGGTCTCTGAAAATACTTTACAATAGTGATAAATCACTGCAAGTTGTATTTCTCTCCTTTCATCTCCAGTTCTGATTAAATAAGGAAGTCTCTGGCTCTTGCGCTCCTGGTCCAGGCAACAAACCACCCCAATTAAAAAGGACTAAGGGGCCATGAGACGGCTCAACGGATAAAAGCAAGTGCTGTCAAGCTTGAGGGACTGAGTTCGAACCCCAGGACCCACATGGTACAAAGAGAGAACTGACTCCTGCAAGTTGCCCTCTGACCTCCACACATGAACACACAATAAATTAAAATGGTTTTTTTTTTTTTAATGAATAAAATGTCTGAGCTCGTATAACCAATTCAAGGGGAGGCAGTTCCAGGGACGTTTTAAAGATCCCTGGGTTCACTCCAGATCTGCTCGGACTTGGATTGTAGATCCATTCCCTCGTGGCTACAAAAAGGTTGCCGGAACACTGGGTTCCGTCTACACACACATGACCTTATCTAAAGACATTGAGGGTAACTTACATAAAGGTTTGTGCTTCGTCTGGAGTGGTGGGTCCTCCTAGAGGGAGTGAGTCAGTCCCTCCCGCATTGCACAACCCTCGCCATCATGGGTTTCCAACGCTTCTGAGCGATGATGAAGAACACACCACTGTAGGTGTGCTGCACCGCGATCATTGGGCGCGCTGTTGAGCAACCATCGATCTCTAGGACCTCTCGTCTTGCAAAACTGAAACTAAGCCACTGGGCAGCTCCTTCCCCCACTGCCCCAGACAGCCACATTCTGTCAGCTCTCTCTATGAACTTGGCCTCTGGAAAACACCACGCAGAGAATGAAATCGTGTCCAACCTGTTGTTGTGAGACTTCGCTTAACCTGGCGCCCTAAAGCTTCCTCCACACCGGGAAATAGGACAGGATTCTCCTTTTTTTTTTTTTTTTTTTTTGCAGAGTTGAATAATATTCTATTGTGTCTACCACTTTTGTTTGTTTTTTAATCTGCTAGTTCCTTGGTGAACATGTTGCATGTTTCTGGGGTTTATTTAGCTTTTAAGCGTGGAAGTGAAACTTTCTCAAAAGCTTTCAAGAGGCCCCACTTAGACCTCAGCAGGCAGAGCTGGGTCAAACGCCCACACACCGGCCAAAGGGAAGCTGGGAAAGGGACTGCTGTGTTTTCGCTTCTGAAGACAGAGGAGGTTCTTCTGTTGGGAATGAGGTGGAAGGTGGGTGTTGAGAGGATCACAGTTTCTCGAGCTTGTGGCTAAAATGTCTCAGAATAGCCCAGACTCAAAACAGCATCCATGGGAATAGAGCTACATGTTGTTCTTTTTTTCAGTGAGGATCTCAACAGAGCCCAGCCTGGACTCACCTCTTGCCTCAGCTTCCTGAGGGCTGAGAGTACAGGTGTGAGCCGGCCAGCACAGTGTTGTGCTGAGTGTTGCCGCTGCTGATGAAACATGATAACGAGTATAATAATTCTTCTAGGAGGTCAAGGCCAGCCTGGGCTACATTGAGACCTGTTGTTAAAATATCTTTTCAGAGGGAGGCATGAACAATGTCTAACCTAAGTCCCCAGCGACAAACCAAGACGTGATTCCACCAAAACTGACTCTGGAGAACCAATGAGTTTGTTAGGCTTCATTTTAGAGCACAGGTCAGGGGTTACTTACGGGGGTGTAGGTGCCCCTTCACCAAGTAGGATACACCTGGAAAGCTTTTACTAGCAAAGATAAGGGTCTTCTCATACCAACATAGATGGGGCCTCCCCCAGCCTATATACTCTAGTCCTTCCCAGGGGTCACATACAAGGCAGAGTTACAACATGCAGCAGGTGGTAGGGAGTGGCTAGACACTCAGGTGAAGGTCTTGTGACCCTCTACTAGGGGATGTAAACAGTCAACAACCCCAGCTGGAAGGATCCTTTTGTAAGAAGTCACAGCTGAACTCCCCCCAAAATGGCAGTTGCTTGGCCCAGAGGATAGTCACTCCCAACACACCCTGTCTCAAAAACGAATTTACTCGAAAACAAACATGTTGGGATAGATTCTGAAGAGACGACCCTGCCCATAAAGTGCTTCCATGGCATGAAGACCTGAGTTTGAATCACCAGAGCCCATGTAAAATAGTTGGGAGTAATGACACATTTGTCTATAATCCCAGGACTAAGGAGACAGACAGCAGTGGATCCCTACAGCTCACTGCCAGGCCCATCTAGCCAATCCATGAGCCCCACATCCAGTGAGAGACTCTGTCCCGAAATATACGGTGGAGAGCAAATGTGTATACATATATACACAGGGATCATTGTGCTGAAGTAGAGCCTGGTGGTAGAGTTCAGGCTCAGCAGACACAAGGCCCTGAGTTTTATCCCCAGCACTAATAATAATAATAATAATAATAATAATAATAATAATAATAATAATAATAAAAACAGTAATAATTAGAGCCAGGTCTGGTAGTGTATACCTGTAATATTAGTACCCAGGAAGTTTTGAGGCAGGAATGTTGTGAGTTTGAAGCCAACCCGGACTACATAGCAAGCTCCAGGCCAACTTGAGCTACAGAATAAGAACTTGCCTTTAAAAATATATATTTACAACTCACCTGGGCTCACAGAGACTGAACCGACAATCATGGAGTCTGTACGGGTCTGACCTAGGCCCTCCGCATATGCCTTACGTTCGTGTAGGTAGGTCTTCTTGTGAGACTCCTAATAGTGGGAGCGGGGGCTGTCTCTGACTCTTTTACCTGCTTTTGGGACGCCATTCCTCCCATTGGGTTGCCTCACCCAGCCTTAATACAAGGGGAGGTGTCTAGTTTTCCTGCAACTTGATAAGCCTTGTGTGGTTGATATCCCTGGAAGGCCTGCTCTTTTCTGAAGGGAAAGGGAGGAGGAAGAGATGGGGGGGCGGAGACTGGGGGGAGAGGAGGGAGGGGAAACTATGGTTGGGACATAATATATGAGAGAAGAATAAATTTTAAAAATTAAAAAAAAAAAAAAAGATTTATTGGGTCAGCGGGAGGGCTAAGTGATGAAAGTGCTTGCTGCCAGGCTTGGGGACCCGAGTTCAATCCTCAGGACATACACAGTAGAATAAGAGAGTCAACTCCTACAGGTTTTGCTCTTTTCCACCCCCCACCCCTCCACACACACAAATAAATACATGTTAAAAAGAAGTTTTAAGTGGATTTGAGAGTGAGGTTGTTTTTGTTTTTAAGAAAGTGATTTGAAGAAAGCAATTAAGGGAAAGCTATACTGGAGACATGTAAAAGTCGAGGCAGAAATTGTAAAGGCGGTGACCAAATGGTCTACGTTTGGGATGCAGCATGGCGGAGAGTCGAGGTTTAAGTGAGAAGAATACACGAGAAGATGCAGCTCAGTGCCCAGAACAAAGGCGGCACTCTCTTAGTGACTCATGACAATCAGTGGCTCCATGCAACTGTCAGATAAACAAATAGTCTTTTTAGCATAAGGATTTCCCATGCCACGTCTGGGATATAACTGTTAAAAAAACTATTCGGTGCTTCCCTGAAATCCACTTTGGATTGAACGGCCTGCACTTTCTGCAGGCTTGTGTGCTTTCTCTGCAATGAGAGAGACTAGGGCAGAGCTTGGAGACTCTGGGGTGTCACAGGGCTGCTGGCCCTCCATCTAGGAGCTGGGCAGACATGAGACATGCAGGGGCTGCCAAGAGGCTGTGGACTCCTGCCTGGGAGCAGCCCCAGCCCCAGGACCAGGCTCCCTCCCACTCCTTATACAACCTGGGGACAGCCACCAAGCCTCCCCAGTTTCCTACTGGCTATGAAGGGGGGGGGGGACCACAGCAGCCAAAGGGGGTGGGGAATGTATCACAGACAGACATACAAGTGGAAACATGGGTATTAGCTCTCCAACATGGAAAGCTTACTTACCAGGGACCTGGGCCAGAAAACGTACAAGCAGCTTCTAAATTTAGGGCTGTACCTGTGCCTCCCTGCCCTGGCTCTAGTGAGCCAGATCCAGGAACTGCTCTGACCACATAAGGATGGGAACCTGAACTATGTGCCTATGGCTGGCTGGGTCATGGTTGACATATTCCCAATCTTTCTCAGGGGTCTTTACACTCTTACATCACACACATATCCCTATATTCATGTCACACTCACAAAACATACACAAATTACACACACACACACACACACACACACACACACACACACACACACACACAGTATCAGTTACTGGAAAGTATGACTGACTCCTTCCATGTGCCAGCTCATGGGAGAGAAGGGACAGGCTCTTCAAACCATGAAGCAATCAAGCAATGACCCATCTCTCTGGGCCTTGCCACTGGGGAGTGTGGCATTTAGATGGGATGCGACGTATCCCAGCAAGAGACAATCAGTCTCCAGGGAAGAAGGGCCTTAGCAGCTCACCAGTGTTCATGTCTGGAAAAAACGGCAGCTGTGATTCACACAAAGCCAAGGCGAACAAGATTCTCGGGCCCCCTGTCTGTCCCATGGCGTGGCTCAGCCCGTTACTCACATCAGAGCAGGATGACACAGACACTGTCTAGTGCTTACTCATGCCCTCTGTATGCCCTGAGAATCTGGTGTCTGTGTGTCCTTCTCACTAGAACCCCTCAAGGGCAGAGAGCTGATCCTCCTTGGTGGCGCAGTGTAGATTCATCAAGACACAGGTGGAAGGCTTGAACAGCTTGGTCCAGTGTGGCTATTAGGGTCACTGCCCACCCCACTGGGGGTCCTTCAGGAGCGTCTAGAGTTCTGGAGCAGGTGAGGGTAATCCTTTATTTCAGGGTAATGCCTAGCATGAGAGGGAGGTTGTCTGTGACCCCTCCTCTGCTTCCTACCCATCCCCGATGGCTCTCATGTGGGGCATTTACCCACCAACCCCACAGCTTCCCAGAGTTTTCTTGAGTGTGAGCAGCAGGAAATATTAGATAGAAGGATTAATTGCGGAGACTCTTGCGGAGATAAACAGATAGAAAATAAAGAATAGCCTCGAGAGGGCCTGAAACCTATTCCAACGGGCCCTGACTGTCTCTGCCCCAGGGTTTTTATAGAGACGCCAAGGGGTGGAGCAAAAGACCTCCTCCCCCAGCACAGCCAAGTGCAGACCATCTCAGACACCTGCACTCAGGCCCGTGGTCCTGATCATCCTCTATTCGGACCTGCTGGGTAAAGCCACGAGGAACCCGAGAACAGGCTCCCACATTCTCTCAAGGACCTGTTCATGCAGGTCTCAGGGGAACCAGGTCTCCCACTCAAGGGTCTCCTTCGACAGCCGCTAGACCCTTAGCAACTCTGCCCTCTGGCATCATGGCTGTCCCCCGTTGTCAAGGTACCAAAGAGCAAGGCACCTGCCTTTGGACTCCCACAAAACAATAGCTTTCCAGAATAAGGTCTCCACTCCCTCGGCCAAGCCCAACGCCTCCTCTTGACCAACCAGTGTTCACACACAAAGTCCCTCTCTTCTCCTGGAGCCGATGCCCCATCCTAATCCTCGGCATTGCCGGAAAGAAGGATGCGGAGGGGGGGGGGGGAGAAAACACAAAACCCAAACCACGGGCTGCTGCTGGGAAGACAGTTCGCGTGGCAAAGCGCTTGCCGTACAGGTATGAGGACCTGAGTTCAATCCCCAGGACCCTCCAAGGGCTGGGTGTGGCAGCCTGTGCTTGTGACGTTAACACTGGAAAGGAAGAGACAGGGGCCCTGGGTGGCCCCTGACCAGGCCGCCTGGCAGAACCAGTGAGTTCCAAGCCAAGAGGGTCCATCTGTCTCAAAAAAACAAGGTGGACAGCATTGTGAGGAAGGACACACAAGGCTGCCCTCCAGCCTCCATCATGTATCTGTATACCCATAGCCACGGAAATGGTCCACAAGGAGGGCCACCAGC